ATTCTTCTGTTATTGCTTGGAGCTCTTCCTCTACGACTTGTTCTTCTTCCTCTTTGCTCGTTTTGTTGGGAACTTCCTGGGATGTTTTGAATTGGGGTTATGGGGCAATCGGGTTGAACCACTGTTACATTAACACCATCCATCCTTTCGAACCACCTCCTTGAAAACGTGATATCGTCACCATGCTTGCTGGAAACAAAGTATCTCCTTTTGTCTTGATCCAGATAAAACTTAACTGGTTCCAAAGACTTCTCACTTGGGTTGTATCTTTCTTTAAACTCTGTCAGTTTCTGGATCTCATTCTGTATCAGGATTACACTCTGTCTCATTTCTTCGGAACAACAAATGTTCTCTATTGCTTCGACACCTTTTGTGATCGTCGCAACCAGAGTCGACAAAAGGTTGGGAACTTCAACAACCTTTTCATCGACAGTCCCAATGAGAACGGGTTCATTAGGAATTTCCGACATTTCCAGAATGTCCGTTCTTGTCGCGATCGAAGTATATTCTTTTACAAACCGCGCAGCTCGATTCGGGTCAATTCTTATTCGTTTGATACCATCTACCTCTCTGACGACAATCCCACTTCTCTCAAATGAAGCCACCACTGTTCCAATGGTTGAGCGATCACTCAGAGTCTTGTAAGTGAGGAGATTTTGAGGCTGATTTGCCTTCCATTTGGAGATCTTTTGTTTCCATTAAGGACTTTGTTGATTGCTTCATCTTCCATTGCAAACGACTTCATAATCTCTACGTCCTCTGGATCTTCGATGAATTCATTGAAGGCGTCGTTGACTTCCTGGTCGGACTCATCTTCTTGTTCAACTTCTGAAAACATAGTGGTGATTTCTTTGGTGGGAGCGCTCTTTCGAACAAGTGACTTTGCTGAGTTTGAGTGTTTTTTGACTGCTCCAAAAAAACACAGATCGAGTCGTTGAGTGAGGTGACTTGAATGAGGGCAGTATGTGTGCAATTTGATCTGGTTTGCTTCGAGCCATCCAAGAAGCTCCTCGTCAAGATGTCCCGAAAAGTTGTCCATTGTGATAAGTCCCCAACTACCATCAAGACCAAGTTCTGTTCTCTTTTTGACGATCACTTTGATGATCTGCGCCATCCAATGCTTGAAGATATATTTGTTGACGAACCCGTTGTTTGTGTAATAGACGAAACAGTCGGGGAACTTCTCTTTGGCTTCGCAAAAGAACTGTTTTTGGTTGATGACAATGCAGAAAGGCAACGTTGTTCCATCCGCACAAATTCCAACTATCGCTGTGGAATGTTTACTTGACCTGCTACAACCGTGCTTTGGGGTTGTCTTGTCCTCATTACTCTGGAAGATGTATAGATTCTTTCTGTCTGCCCAATCGTTGCTTCCCATTTCATCGATGTTTACACATAGGGCTGCTGGTATATTGTCAAACTTTTTGAGCTCTTTGAAGTTATCAACAATGTTCTCTGGATTGATGGAGATTCTGTCTAGATCTTCTGCGGTTGCTTTCTTGAGACCAATCTTCAACTTCTTCATGTGTTTAATGAGACCCCGTCGCGATATTTCAATGTCGGGTACTTTTTGACTCAGGTACCGAAGAATTCCAGTGACAGTACATACAATTCCCTTTCGTTTACAAGTGACAAGCCACTTGTCGATTTTGTTATCAACATCTTTGGAGGTTTGCCGTTCTTCAATTCTCCGATTTTTCTTCTGGTGTGGGTGTCTATCGTGGATTTTGAAGCACCATAAAGCATCTGGATAGTTCTTGTTGAGTGATGAAGTTTGTAATGCAAATAATGGATTTGTTCACGCATGGAAGTCTCCTTCAAAAATGTCTCATCCTGCCAAGCTTGTTCAAGAGCCTGTTCAACAAGAAGAAGTCTCTGTGGAGAGATACCATTCTCTTTTGATTTCTGGACATTTTGACGCATACTGTTTTGTGAAAGAGAAGGTTTCTTCAACTGTTTTGTTTCTTTTGTCTCTTTTGGAATTTCAGTGTTGTGATCAGCGACAACGCGATTTTGAGGATTAGGGAAGCAGGACATCAGATTCAGTGATGAAAAACTTGGCAACATGAAAAGGATGTTTAAAGTTATGAACGATTTAAAACCTAAAAGAAAATTGTTTAAATGAAAATAATGGATTGTTTTGTGCAAAAATTGGGGTTTTGGGGGATTTGAATATCTTCCACTTTAACTTTTTGGTAAAGACTTTGAAATTGATTCAATACGAGAAGACATTTTCTAAAAAAATCAAGAAAATATAACCAAGTAAAAAAGAAAATGTTTTATAAAACGATGACTCTTTTTGGTGAAATGAGGACAAATTTTGGAAATTTTTGAAGTTTTTTTCGGCTTTTTTTTCGTTTTTGAAATTCGAAGAAAACATCTCATTTGTTCATTGCTTTTTGTTATTGATTTTGTTGAACTTGAATAATCTAAAAAAGACAAATTAATGGTTAAAATACCATAAATTGAATTTAAAAAATGGCTGACAGGTTAGTTCTGGTTGACAGGTTATTACTCCAACTGTATACCTGAAAAACCAACCAACACAAAAAAAACAACCGGTTGACAGGTTATTACTCCAACTGTACAATTTTAGTTTGAGTCCAACCAATTTTAAGAAAACAAAAGACGTAACAAAACATCAATTTTATTCTTTTCAAGTGGTCCATTTCTAGAACATCACTACAAGTAAATATAAACAAAAATTAAAAACTTTTAAAGTACAAAAAAAAGAATGTTAGAAATAACAACAATTGCAGAGCTTGATAAGATTTTTACTGAACATCACAAAGTGTGTGTCAAGTTCTTCGCCACATGGTGTCCATCTTGTCAGAAAGCACTTCCAATTGCTCTTGAAATTGAAAAGGAATTACCTGATGTGTTCTTTGTAGCAGTTGACACAGACAAAGCCAGTGAGGTATTTGATAAATATGAGATACAAAAGATGCCCAATTTCTTATATTTTATCGATGGTGTATTAAAAGGACAATACCTTGGAAATATAAAGGATAGAATAAAGTACATTTTTAGTGATCCTCTCTTATTCATTTTCACTTTATTCAAAATTAGAAGAATTCAAATAAAAATAACACAATTTATATTTAATCAAATAATTTTATTGATCAATTGAAGTTGAATTTGTTCCAATTGAACAGAAGCAATAATTTGTAATTATTGTTGATTTTTATAATTTGTAAAACTTATTAATTCTCAATTAGCTACATTCAAATATAATCTTATTACACATTTGTGGCAAAATGCTAATAACTGTTTTTCATAACTATTATAATAATAATTCGAATTTTTAGAGCTTTGGATCATGTTCATTCAAATTATCAATAAACATAATTAACTCTCTTCTAAATATTTTTACTTTTTTATTAAAAAGTTAAAAATTTACATAGATACATATAAAATGAGTTTGTAAAAATAATGTCTTTATCAGCATCATAGTTTTAATTTCAAAATGATTTATTTATATCATGAAATATACCAAGTAAAATTTATTGAAATAAAATAACCTTTTTTATATGACAATTATTGAAAAAAAATAAATCTCATTCAATTTATTTATATGTATATATTTTTTTATAAAACAAACATGGTTTTTAACATATTTTAAATGTGTATATATCATCTATTTTATTTGGCATTTAATTATTGTTGTTATTAAACCAATATTGTGAATTGAGTGTTATTTTATCAAGAAAGCAATGTTTATTAATATTGAAATAAAATATTAATTGATTTACTTCATTTTTGACACTTTCCAATTGAGTTTACCACCATATTGATTATCAGTATTTGATGCTAGAACCCCCTTAATTGAATTGATAACAAATCCAATTTGTCCATTTTCTTTTTCAACCCTTGACACAATTGTTACATAATCTCTGACCTCTTCATCTATTTTCATAAAATCCTCTATACAGAATTTACACACAGAAATAACAATATTGAACTTATGAAGTGCAACAATACTTTTCATTATATAATTAGTGTTTTTTAATTCTGAGAGATGTCCGAAAAGAATTTTCAACACATTGAGGTTTGGGTACTTTTTAAAGTTCTCTTGAAACAAGTACAGACTCGATGAAGTAATCGTGAGATTTTTGAGAATTGGATACGAATCATCTTTAACTGGCAGTTTTGTAGAGTACACCATCTTACTTAAAAAGTCACCAGCAACAACAAAGTCTCTGTCGACTATTTGGATCTTCTGAACACGTCTGAAAGTGTTTGGATTCACATTGAGAAGTGCAGAAGAAGTGATTTGGATTGTATTCATCTTTGGAAAGAGATGAAGAAAATACAACGAAGATAGTCCAGTGGACGTAACTGGGTTGATGTGCATCATTTCAATAGCAGTTTGACAATTTCTGCTTGTGTTCTCAAAATTTTCAAGATCAGAGTGTTCCATATACAGTATCACATTCATCAAGTAAAACGGTTGAAGTCTTTTATTCATTCCTGTTGTGTTTGTTTTTAAATGTTTTTTAAGTTGAAATTCCATTTTCAAAACACTGTCCTGTCTTTTTCCTCATGTTTGAATCATTCACATCCGTCTGTCTGTTTTATGTGTGTTATATACTATTATATACTATACTATTTAGTATATATATCATTATTATTAATGTGTAAATATAATATAATAATAATGGTATTTAAATAGTTTAAATTAATATATAATTAAAATATTACTATATTGTAAATTATAAATAATTAACAAAAGTTGTGATATGAGTAACTTAAGCGAGGTTCTGTTCGACGAACTTCCAGTTGACGACGTTCCACCAGTGTTCAAGATAAGCAGCTCTGTTATTTCTCGTGTCGATGTAGTAGGCGTGTTCCCAGACATCACAGGTGAGGATTGGTTTCATACCCTCTGCCATTGGGTTAACAGCGTCGTGTGTGTCGATGATCTCGAGCTTTCCGTTGTGCTCGACCAACCAGCACCACCCACTTCCAAAGTGTCCGACGGCTTTCTCGGTGAACTTCTTCTTGAAGTCTTCGAAACTTCCGAACGCGGCAGCCAATTTGCTTTCGAGTTCAGCAGATGGCTTCACGCCACAGCCACACATGCAGTTCCAGTAGAAAGCGTGGTTCCAAGCTTGAGCGGCATTGTTGTAAATAGCTTGTGTTGGTTTTGTTTTAATGAGCTCTTCAAGTGTCTTCTTGGCGTTGTCTGTGTTGGCGACCAACCCATTCAACTTTGTGACATAAGTCGCGTGGTGTTTGTCGTGGTGGAATTCCAAAGTCTCAGCACTGATGTGTGGAACCAAAGCAGTTTTTTCGTAAGGGAGTGGAGGGAGAACGAAGGCCATTGTGTGTTGTGTTATTCAGATTTGGTCGGTCTTATATACCACGTGTTTATTTGCCTTGAAAATGTGAAAGTTATTCATTTCTTCACACAAAGCCACTTCTTTTCACACTCTCCACATTTCTTTCGTTGTGGTTGGTATAAATAAATAACGAGCTGTTTTTTATAATTACATTATAATTAACGAGCCAATTAATTTATTATTTTGACAATAATATATATTATTATAAAATAAATTAACGAGGTTAATAAATATCATAATAATCCAACTCGTTAAATAAACAACTTGTTAATTCGACATACTTGTGTTAAATTGTATTAGAACAGTATAATTAATCAATAGACAGAATCTATTTTCAACTCTTTTGTATATAAAAAAGTATCACTTCTGATTGGACAATGTTTGTCAAAAATGACCAGATCTTTGTTGAAAATATTTTGGGTTTAGCAACTTTTCCCAACTTGCAATGCAAAAACAGCGCAATAAATTGTAACAAATCTGTTTCAAATTTCACATTTTTGGTTGTGTGCATTTTGCTTTGAATTACTTTTGGACATTTCCTATTTTTTTATTAAAATTAATTATATTTGCTATATAATTCCATTTACTTAACCATTGAATTATAGTTCTGTTGTTATAAAAAAACCATACATTGAATGTTTTCAAGTTGGCGATAAAACGTCCGTTATACAAATAGGCAGATAATGACCAGAATATGTGAACTGACACGTGTGCCAGATCTCGCGTCTTGGTATGAGGTTTTCAATGCAAGATCGCCACGTCCACACTTTTTGATTCTGCTTTTAGATTCGTAAATTTGTATGTGATATTATTAAAACTATAATTAATAGAACATTTACTATAAATATCACACTGTAATCTTTTTGAAAACAAAAACACAACTGATTTTTGTAGTTAAACACCAAGTTAATATTTATATGTTATTTACAATGTATTTATTGTAAATGAGTGATAACTTTGTTTATAACAAATAATTGACTGGACAACAAATAAATATCAAAAATATCACCGCAAGACGTCTGGACAAGATCACACGACCAGATTTGTTTGAAAAATGAGGTGGTTCTATTTAAATATTTCTGAGAACAAACAAAACAAGAAATGTCGACTTGTCAAAAAGAGTGTTGTGTAAAGAAAGAGAGCTGCTGCGAGAAAGTGTGCCCAGCCAAAAAGGCATACGAGGAGTTCCTCCGTGCCGTCCCAAAAGCACAAGTAGGTGAAGAAGCCCCAACATTCAAGGCACAAGCCCTCTGCCCATGCAGTGGAATTGTCGACTTTGACTTTGAGAAGGTGAGAGGAAAGTTTGTTGTCTTGTTGTTCTACCCACTCGACTGGACTTTTGTGTGCCCCACCGAGATGTTGGGATATTCCAAATTGGCTGAAGAAATGAAAGACGTTCAGTTCATTGGCATTTCAGTCGACTCAGTCTTCTGTCACAAGGCGTGGTGCGATGCTCCACGTGAACACGGCGGAATTGGGAAGTTGGCATTCCCATTAGTCTCTGATATCAAGAAGTGCATTTCTATGAAGTACAACATGTTCAATGCGGCTGATGGCATCGCAAGACGTGGTTATGTCGTTATTGATCCAAAGGGTATCATCAGATATATGCAAGTCAATGACAATGGCATCGGAAGAAACACTGAGGAGACAAAGAGAATCATCGAAGCTATCAAATTCTCTGACGAACATGGCGAAGTCTGCCCACTCAACTGGAAGCCTGGAAAAGACACCATGAAACCATCACCGGAGGGTGTTGCTGACTATTTAGTCAAACATTAATTCATTCAAAACTTTTTATTGTTTCTTTGTTAGGTTTTATATATTATATAAAACAACTCAATCAATTGGATTTGATGTCTTTTCATATATGAAGTTATTAAATTCATTTTCATTATTGTATCGTCAAGAAGTTTTTTAATGTGCTAATTCTTCATAATTTGTTGTTTTGTTGTTGCATTTTTGTGTTTTTTTGTGGTTTGAAAGAAACACTGGATTTGTTCTTCTTTTTTAATAAAGTGGCATATAAGTTCCGATACGTCTGCTTTGTAATTGTAGTCTTGACTTTAAATTTCTATGTTCTTGTTATTCATGGCAATTTTAAAAGCTTTTTCTAAGTGTTGTGTATTTGTTTCCATGTTTTTGGTGTACTTTATGTGATTAGATTCGACGCCTTCTAATTGCCAAAAAGTGATTGCTCTATAAACACGTTACTAATCAACTAGTTCGTGTCTTCGTCTACACAAAATACAAATTTCTCAACACCAATTTCACAATCAAATTTAACATTCCCACAAATTTAAAGTCTTTTGTTACAAATAAATAATTCATTATATTTAGTTTAATATATATAAATAATTATTATAATGGACAATATTTGGCACAAGTGGGTGGCGTCACAACAGTTTTTTTACAATTGATAGAAGTTTGAGCTTAAAATAGTTGGCACATTCCTTCAAATCTAATTTTTCATTATTCCCTTCAATATCAATTTCTATGAAAAGCCAACATTTGTAACTTCCAGTTTTGCAGTTTCTGATTCAAAGATAATTTTCTTTTTAAAACTTCAATATTGCCATTAATGTTTATATCTTTAAGTTGGTGTTGTGTATCTTGTATATGGAAGAGTTAATACACACTTAGTTTCTAAAACACTTGTTAATAGACATTTTAAGTCACAACAATTACACAATTTAATTTATTTATTTGAAGTTATAAAATCAATTTTTGAAAAGTTTCGAGACTATTCAAATAATCCAAATAAGTTTTTGGTTATAATTATGGATAA